TATTTATTTATTTATTTATTTATTATTAAAATTTATATGCCGTCCAATCCCGAAGGACTCCGGGCGACTTAAAAAAGAAAAAGAAAAAAAAATAATAAGAGAAAAAGAAAGACAGTTTAAAATCACAACATGCATTCACTTTAACCGGGGCTGGACCTCAACAATGAGGTCAACAGCCCCAGGCCTGCTGGAACAGCCAGGTTTTAACAGCTTTTCTGAAGGCACATGGCATACAAGTGGTGCATAATGCTTCTAGATTTCTCCAGGAGCAATGTTAAGCTCAGAGTCAGAACTTTTAAAATAAAAATATCTGTTTTCAGATGCTCAGCATCATTTACTGACAATCCTTGGCTTCCAAAATTCTGCCCAGCAGTCTATAAGAAAGTCTTGCTGTGAAGGTAGTTAATTACATGAAAAACAGTGAATGAAACTCCTGGTTACGTGTTTTATTTTTTGAAATTTTGGAACTGATTAGGAAGTTGTTTTTTTTCTTTTCCATGTTGAGTTTCAATGATTGCCCAAGAAAATATATTTGGATGGATTTATGAACTGAAGTTTTTATTTTCAGGATACCATGGAACTTGAAAATTCAACAGAGTAACGCCACTTGCTCATTATGTATTTAACTATTTATTTGCTATGCATTTCGTATTTATTTTATTGTTTTATTTCATTTAATTTATTTATCAATACGATTCTATTTTTATGATTAAGCATTTATCATTACAAATACATAGTTATAGACATATTTCAGTTATGGCTATCATGAGTTAATATTAAAAAAATCTCTTGTTGTTTCAACTTCATTAAGTGTTCAAAGATAGGAGCCTTGAAAAAGATTCCAAAGGAAAAAAAAATCGAACCTCATCTAGTCTGCCTGCAGGAGGAATTCAGGCATTATTTCCCAGATGTAGTGACTGAAAATCCAATTTAGAAGTTGGTGAAAAACACTTTGACCACTGATCTATTGTAGAAAAGCTATACAATACATGAAAGACGCACAAACTTTTTTAAAGATTTCACATATGTGAAGTTCACATGATAGGTTGACATCACATGAGATGTGAAGTCCTTGGACAGAGAAGAAGCAAACTTGTCATTCTCCCCAAAATGCAAGACTTCTGAGTATTAATTTATAAAGCATAGATGTTAAGCAGAAGCACAAGAGCAAGAGAAACTCTCAGTAGCTTTTAATAGAATAGGAAGTCTGTTGCAGATTATGGCAAAACAAAATCTAGTAATAATATAAAATATACAGTGCACGTGGGCAGCCAACCACCATCTCCTGAAGCAAAAACGGCCTCCCCCACAGGGGTGGGTTTCTCGCCCCGTTCCAACTGGTTCGGTTGAAATGGGGCCGGCGGCGTCCTCGTGCACACTCGTGGTGCACGCATGCATACTAGCGTCTGTGCGATGCTCAAGCTGCTCCTGGAGGATCGCGCAGGCGCTGTA